ATTCCCATCACAGCGAATCTCTTCACGTCGTTGTTTGGGTCGGTAGCTACCTTAACAACAAGAGTGAAGAATCTAGGTTCCTTATAGATAGGTTCAAAGCTTACTGTTTACCTCGTCTTAATTAAGGAATGGGCTACAGGGAGAAAACTCCGAAGCTATAGTCAAACCTAACATTGATTTCTAGAGTGAAATAGTGATTTCAGAGATAAAAAGCGACCAAACACCGAGCTCCCCGGTTTTCGCAGCATACATCTTATACAGTATTATGTTGAACATTCTCATGATTAACCCGGACAAAAGTTTGAGCACGAAATTAGCGTAATAAATACATCGCTTGAAATGACAGCAAAACTGAACCTATTAGCATTTCAGATTCAGGAGAATACCACAGCATTGTTATGGAATCGGTTCACATGTCTCACCTTCTCCAGAAGTCGCGAAACAACGTTTGCACGTCCACTGCCAACGTAAGCCATTGACATCATCGCTATTCCTGTCGACCGTAACATAGCATTGCTCTTGACATCAACCAACTGGGCTATGAAAGACTCAGCCTCATCTTGCCGACCTAAAATATTTTTTTCAGAAAGTGCAAATTCTTCGAAAATGAAGTCATTAACACTTAGACGGACCACGGTCCAAAAGTTCTATTGTTTTAATGTGAAGGAGTAGATCAGATCTAACTCGAAACTTCAGCCATTGAAATATGTATGAGTGCATAACAAATTTCTCTCCGACATAACAGCTATAGATTTACAACAAACTACGAATATTTCTGGATTATTCGCCATTTTCAGAGCGAACAACTAAACTTAGAAAAAATTAGTGCCGTGAAGAACAGTTTTGATTCAAAAGCCCACTACAGTTACTGTTCACGCCAAAAGAACGATATACAACTAGGGGAACACCAAAAAGTAAAATCATCACTCAGTATACGAGAGAACGGACGAAGCGCGTGCCTGAAGTTCATTTACAACTTCGTTAGAAATGATGGTGGCACCCTGATCACTTCAGAGAAATAAAAGTCTTCAGATTGTTCGCAAGCACACCAACATAGGTAAAGCACTAAAAAAAATCGCTGGAATCGGATGTTCATGAAAAAGGAAATGGCGAGGGTAGTGCGCGATTAGATGATAGGTGGTGCTATCAACGGTGTCAACGACCTCTGTGTTAACGGTAATGAGCCCACTCCGAAATCAAATGGCGAGAGCAGGGTGCGATTTCTGGGGTTTTTGACCGCTACTGTGGGATTTTTACACCGACGCCCCACTTTCCAACCTTACTCTTATTTTTCGTTAGCATTAAACCTATCGCGATTCCCGCCCTCAAATACTCAAGATATTCTTAGCATTAAACCTATCGCGATTCCCGCCCTCAAACTCAAGATAATTTGGTTCCACACTACATTAGTCCAATAAGTGAAAATTGTCAATTTTTCAACCGTACTTCCTATCTGTGCACTCCTTCCAGACTCCTGCATTCCGAAATAGCTCCACCATCAGATTTTTAGCAAAATTATCACGAACGCATCACTGCAGGAGCAAAAATGTTACCACCGAATAAAGTCTTCTGTTAATAACTACAAAATGAATCAGAGAAACGGATCAACAATCGTGCATGAGAAAAAGTTGGCTCCCAAAAGGATTAAGAGCATTGGTTTCATCGTGCTGCGTTTTAGTTATTTCGCCGCAAAAACAATCACAACGATGTATTTGACTTCTCCCAACTATTTTTGCAGGGACGTACCATAGAAGCCAACAAGAGATTCTCTCGTCGCATTCCTCGTTGACATTATCGTGTTGAGTGTCGCAAGTGTACTGTACCATATCTTGGAATGCAGCAGAGTTCAAACTGCCAACCATCACCAGTCCCATTGCGAGTCCTGCTGCTTCTCCCGAAACAGCATCGTCCAAATAAAGGGCATCACGAAGTTGTAGATATACCTAGAATGCTTATGTCAACATGTGTATTCACATCAGGAAATCACTCCTCACATCTTGATTTTGTGTTCCCATAGCAGCAAGCCCAAGCCCGAGACACGCTCCGTGACGGACTGCTGATGTCTGTGCAGCGACAACTGCTCACGAAGATACCTTGACACAGTCAGCAGTTCCGTGATTGGCATGAATAAGACCTACAACAAATTCGAATTACCAGCGAAAGAGGCGACCAGTGTGCAAGTTGCTGCGTGGCTTCGTGAGTCTTTTACACGACTGCAGCCTTGGAGCACCACGTGCCTTTTCAGACTGGCGAAGCTTCAGGTAAGTTCTACAGCGCCCTTGCTAACGGGTTCCGCCCGCTTACAAATTCGGAACAATTCTTACTTGAAATATTGCAAGATAATTTCTTAAGAGCTAAAAATACTTCATGTTAATGAAATTAATGTTAATGAAATGCTCGCAATAAGAAGTTGATGCCATACCAAGAGCGAACAATGAGCAGCCTTCTTTGAATCCGTACTGAATCAGGTTCCGTTTTCGGAAGGTACGGGTCTAGTAGCTTCATCGCTGCTGATTCGTGGCCCTGAAATAAACAGAAGAAATTCGGTAAAAAAAAATACGACAATCACATGGGCGTGAGCGCCCATTCGGAAAGTCTGCATCATGACAATAAACAGCATTCACCTTGTGAATAAGTCCTAGGGTGGCTACAGCATTAAATTTGTTCCAATTTGTAGCTTTGCTAATCCAGTCGAGATTATCTCTGAAAAATTTTAACCATGCAAAAAGACAAGTCACAATGAGTTCGAATCCTTCAGTGTTTGCCTCACCGCAGAAAATCATCGCATGTTGTTCCAAGATGCATAAGACCGTTCGACATTAAAGTAGCATTATGTGCGGTAGCCGTTCTCACACAGTCCTTCATTTCCTGAAAGTGAAAACGGCCGCTTCAATGGACAAGAAGCTAACTAAGAAAATGCATAACTCATGTCAGTTATGTCAACAATATAAAAAAAGGTAGAAAATTCTAAACAAGATACTATGAGACGCTAACCTTCAGAATCAGCATGTCTGTGTGGTTATTCTTGATGAGGAACTGCATATGGTGCTTTACTGTTTCTTCACACGTAGAATCGCTTTAAGGCGAGCCATTGGAGCAGACTAAAGTAAGAAAACTTACTACTGATGATATTAAAAGAAAGACGAAAAACATGCTATCCGCTGCACTGCTTAACTTTTCCCAACAATTCACTAGCGTCATACTCTCTAGAAATTTTCCATTTCATTAACACACTCTTGCTACTAAGTGGTTTTTTTTTGAGATTTGTAACTTCACTTTCTAAAGTTTCCAGTGCTAATATGTAATTGGATGTAAAAATGAGATCAAAGGCTTGACAAAAATGACGCTCATTTATATCTGATCGAAATCAGACCTCTTCCGGTTCGGTGTTCCTTCCTTCTCTTCTTTAGGAGTTTCGCAGTTGGAGCGGAATCGCTTTCTTTTTTCACCGTTGGAGTACTGAAAATTACGACACTTCTGATGAACTATAACAAGAGAAATCGAATAATCTGAACATGCGAAAAAAATGTGTCAAAACGCGTTGCAGAATAATATGAATTCAACCTTGGGGATGGTTGGTGAAAACTAGCGTAGGTATTCAACACTTGGGTGTTGAACTGCTGAGAGGCGTTCTCGTATAAATCGAAGGCAATTTGATACGCGATGAGGTCACCGTTCTGAAAGGCATACAAATCATAAATGACAACCATATAATAAAAACAACAAATCCTAAGCTGTTGCATTTCCGTTTTTGACAAAATAAAAAAAAAAATTATTCATACCGCGTGAGACATGAGTCTATCGAGAAGTCTGCCAATATCCTCCGGCCGGTTCAACTTGATGAGACACTAGAAAACTTGCGTATTAAACTTCTAAAGAACCGCGTTCGTTACGCAACTCCTCACAAAGGCACAAAATAAGTGATTACTAGGTGAACGGAAAAAACTCTGCGAGCAGCGTTTTGGAAATTCTCTTCTACAAATCAAGTAGGCTAACAAGAGATATAGAAAATACGGCACTATTTACCCTTTACTGCCACACTCGTCAAACCGAGCCGGATTTTAATCGAATTTTCTCCATGACTAAGGATTTGGGCTAAAAAGTGTCTACAAGGTATTTCAGCAAGTAGAACACGAATATCACACCAGTTTAGCGCGAAAACGCCTGGCGCCACTCAACAGGGCCGCGTTTCACCAATGTTTGTGCTTGGCGCCGTATAACTGCTACAAGCTTGCTCACAACCGAACTGGTTGTGATAAGCACGGCTTATGGTCAAATGCAAAGTTTCCGGCGAATGCGGCGATCCAAGGGGATCTGCGCCTGCCCCTGTGCCCCAGGTGTCTTCGTGCTGATTGATGTGGTATTTGTGTTCTACGGGATGAAATATAGAAGAGAATGAGAGAAGTTCATATCCAAATCCTCAGTCCTAGACAAATTTCGATCAAAACACGGCCCGAGGAGTGGAGCAGAAAAAGGAAAGTAGTGCCAAAAACACAATAATTATTCACAAGAATAATGTATTACAGAAATAGAACCAGACATGTGGGAAAAAGCTCTCGCTGACCTGACAAATAGCAACAAAATCGGCATGTTTGTTGCTGGTGAACAACTTCACTAGGACGTCGAGTAACTGAGTACGTAGTTGCACATCCATCTTGGCACCAGTGACCTTTTGTATGGTTTCAAGCAGGAGAACTGAAAATGAATGAGAGCATATTCCTGCATTGAGTATACATATCTGAGCGTATGCAGAGGAACAAAGATACAAAAAATTACGTGCCATGCGACTCTGTGCTCTTGGTGATTGCCTTCTCAACCATATCGATGCGACGAGTATCTAGCGCGAGTCCGATAACATACAAAAGCTCATTCTGCAAGTAAACCTCGAAACTGCGTTGAAAAATTGATGACGAAAGCGGTACAGGCCTATTGCAATATCAACACGGAGGAAAGCAGTACTAAGGACGAACACATAGAAACACTTCCTCAGAGAGGATAAAGCAGAAGAAAAAAAGGCGCTCATCCGGTAAGGGGGGGGGCATTGTGATGCAACGTCAAGTGGCTGCCCTCACCCCCCACCCCCTAGACTGCCTTCACTCCCCCTGGCTCACGGGGTCCCGTACTTCGAGAAACCTGTGCGCCAGGGGGAGTGTAGGCAGTCTAGGGGGGTGGGGGTGAGGGCAGCTAGGGCGGTGGAGGCAGGCCACTTGATGCCCCCCCCTTTAGCTGAGTGAGCGCCGAAAAAAAGTATACCTTCTCAAGATTTCTCTGGAAAATCCTATTAATTAGTGCTTCCAAGCGACTATCCATTTTTTCACCGTTGTTTTTGATACGCTTATAGGAATCGATAGCGATTTCGATGATTTTGTTGACGTACTATAAAGGGAATAAAAATTAATCTGCTTTCAAACGATGATGGGAAAGAAATGAAGCAGACCAAACCTCATCATCCTTATCTCCAACAGTTTTAGACTTTGGCCTAGGAGTTAGTTTAAAATGAGTATCAGCAGCTAAAGCGAAGTTCAGCGCGTTTTCGTAGTCTTCCAAGCAAAAGGCCACCTAAACATCGTAATGGAGAAGGTGGAGTCCAAATCCCATGGAAATGGACACAACATTACTTCGCCTAGACAGAACGTACCTTCGATGCAAGGAGTGCAGCTTTTTGGCGTGCCGGAAAATCTTTGTTCTCAGAAAGCTCTTCGATGAAACTGGCGCAATCCGCCACCTGATGGAGGAGAGGTGATGATTACAACAACGCCAACTGTAGACACAGTAAAGCATACTGCCTACCTCAAACCAGGTGTTGGTAAGGACATCCCAGTCGTCAAACAAATCGATTAGCATTTCCTTTTCTTTTGCTAGTGAACGAGGAGATCTCAACGATTTCAAAAAAAGCACCTAAATTGCTTTGGAGATGTCATGGACCTCAAAATCAGAGCTTATTCACACATTCAGAAACCCAATTGTCCCCAACGAATAACGCCAGGGTGAATAACGGTCGAGGAAATCCTCGACCATAGCTCTCTACCATGCGAGAGTAGTGCCGAGAGTGAACATCCGCGCGGAGAGCACAGACGGCACGGCATGGCGAGTGTGAATGTCCGCGCGAGAGATCGTCTCTGATCGGGCAGAGAATCCTCGACGTGCCGTTGAGGAATCCTCAAGCGATATTCACCCTGCTGACGACCCACATCTGTTCAAAAATATGAGTACTGACGAATCGAAATCAAATCAGAATTTAACTCACTGGCATCCACAGGACCTCCTACGCGAGACTTCCAGTTATTTATAATGAACTGCATGTCTGCAAAGGAAAAATAAACCTGACTGAAGAATACCGACTAAAGTATGACCAGTCGGAAAGGCTTATGCGAATGAGTATCTCTGAAAAGGAATGCTAAGAACTAACAAGTAACCACAGCGCATGAAAGCGGCTCTAGCAATTTTGATGATTTAAACCTATCGCGTGAATCATGAGAGGGCGCGTGCTGAGCTACAGCCCACTGCGTCAACGTTTACGGTCGCTGCAGTTTTTTGCCAGATTCTTGTTAGGCCCTGTTCAGAGATGTCCGCCGGCGCGAAAAAACGCACAGGCGAAAATCTCCGCCAAGATTTAGATACGCATCGACTGAGAAATTGTGAAACGCGTAAGCGAAACGTCCGGAGCAGGCGAATTTCAGTCAAGAGTTTGATATGTATCGACTGTGAGAAACGCACAGGCGGAAAATCGCGTGAGCGAAGCGTTCGTAAGTCGATGCGTATGATACTCATTTTCGTCGATCCTCCCACTTCACGATTCGCCTGTGCGTCTTCGTTCAGTCGATACATATTTCACATTGTTTCGCCTATGCGTTTTTTCGCGCAAGCGGACATCTCTGAACAGGGCCTTACGAGGGCTCCGTCAACCTGAGAGCGAAGGTGTAGATGGAGAATCGTTTGTTTTGTGTAGTTCTGAGACTAAGCCTTTGAAGAGGACTGAAGAAAGCAGGAATCTTGTGATAGTTTCCATGTTGGGAGTCCTGCAATATGTTAGGCGAACCTTCTCCATTTAGTCAGTACACCGCAGTTGAGTAGTAGAAAAAGCTAAGAATGAAAAAAATCATCATTGAGAAGCTCTCGACTAGGACCGAATTCCCAGTAAATTTCAAACTATCGTTAGAAAGTTATCTTCTTCTTCTCCCTAGCGTTAGTCCCGCGTAGCCGCAGGGTCCGCTGTCGTCGCCACTTCGTTCTGTCTAGGGCATCTTCTGCTGTGGCCGTGATAACGATATTTTTCCCAAAATTTGCCGGGTTTTCATCCTTATCCATGGCTCCTTTTTTTCGCGCCGGCTCTCCTTACCTTTTTCCGTAGTGTTTCGATGATGCACAAAACATGCATCTGAATTGGTCCCTTCGTTATAACAAGGCCATGCAGATGAAACAGTAGGGGTGCGATGCTCTTGGTTGCTCTATTGATAGAAGGAGAAATCAGTACTAACAGTTGCCATGCGGGGGACACACAGCACCTCCTAAAACATAGTAATCCGTCTTCCTTCACCAGTACGCGAATCCTGCGAAGTTGTCCTAATGTGAAGTGGTAGGGAATGGAATGAGTTAGCACATCTGAACTGGAAATCCCCATGAGGCTCTAACGTCATCTGGAGCTACGAGAGAAAAATGAAGACGTTTGCTGACGACTGCAGTGGGTATGTGCACTTGAGATCGAAACGGAGCACGTTTCGATCTCAAGTGTCAACTGCCATTCGTGAAACGAGGCGGAGGTTCGATATGGTAGACCGCAAAAGGTGCTGGACTAATGCACAGGGTTCCGTGGGCCGGACCAATTCCCTCCCCAAGGGGTTGGGGGGGACAAAAATCCCTTTAAATTTATTTGTTTTTAACAATAGTTTCTTCATTTTCAGTGCATGTTTACTTTGACCTACATACATACATTAAATGTAGGCCCTTTATCAGGACAATCCCAGTTGGGGAAGAAAATTTAAAGGCAAGATTCAAGCTTAAACTGATGAGGTAATTCTACTCAAATGTGATGTAGGGGTGGGAGGTGGACCGCCAGTGGAGAAAAAAGGAAAGAAAATCGTGAAATACACAGGAAATACGAGCCTTTTGCTCTACGCTGCGGAGAAGTTCAAAAGGCCGGCAGGGAGATGAGAGATAATGTGAGCGCGGAGAGCGGTAGAGAAGTCCGAGAAGAGAGAGCATAGCAGATCAGCATTGCGACGCAGACAAGATATCGAGCGGTGGGCGGAGCGTGTCGCAACAGGTGGAGCGTGTCAAAGTCCTTGGCCCCTAGCGCCTTAGTGACGCATTTCGATGCGGGAACTTGGCGAGTCGCCTGCAGTTGCGTCCCATGCACTTCTAGCCACTTTAAGGGCTTATTAGGTGGGTCTGAGCCCGAACTTTGCCTTTAAAGGGATTTTCGTCCATCGACCCCTTGGGGAGGATGGAATCTGGCTTCAGCAGGAGTGGTGACAGCGGACGCATACCTTCGGTTCTTGACGGTGTTGCGCATCTACACGTGTGGCATACGCAGCGTACTGACTTCGTCTTTTAGTGGTATAGCGACTCAAATCATCGCACCTCAACTGTTCGTTGTAGAGCTGTTCTGAGCGTCATCTAGACGCTACAGAAAAAAGAGGAAACCTTTAGCAGAAAAAAGAGAGGAATATGGAAGAGAAACTCGTCCGATTAGAAGAAACTTTGAGGAACTTGTCCTAATAGGCTCTGAAATCAGCAACTGATTCCATACTGTGGCCTTATCAAGGGTCAGCGATTCCAGAGATTGTTAACAGAGCATCGGACCTGCTCAATGTTTTTTATGATGCGCGCGATTGTTTCGTTGAATTGTAAGCTTGCTAGAGTAATTTGAAACCTACTTGGAATTTGCTCACACGCGAGAATTTCTAG